AATAAGAACCAAGAGAGATTATGTAAAGGTGCAAATTTCCAATGTCGAATGTCATTATATTGTATACCTAAAATGTACCAATAAAATTAATTTAAAAAAAGAATCATACCACAGTGATATATGTTTATAGCGGCAGAGTTTATAATAGCTAAAACTTGGAAACAACCCAATTGCCCTTAAACTGGAGACTGGATAAAGAAGATGTGTTTATTTATTTATTTATTTATTTAATAAAATGGAGTACTACTCAGCCTTAAGGAGAAATTAGATACATTTCTAGTTAAGTGGATCCACATTGAGGCCATGCTCTTAAGTGAAATAAATAAGACACACATACGTAAATATGGAATAGCTTCTTTGATGTGAAAACCTAAAAGTGCAAATAAAGATCAAAATGTATATTTGATAATGTGAAATAGCAAGAAAGAGTCTAGAGTGGTAGGGGAACTAGGAGGGGTATGGGAAATGAAAGAAGGGAAAAGAAAAAAATATGAGAAAAGAAAAAAATGAAAACAAAGGCTTTATAAATAGGGAAGGGTGGAAGGGTTGAAGGGAGGGCAAGGGAATGGGGAAAAATGAAGAACCAAGATACATCATGTAAAGGTACAAGATCCCAGTGAGGAAGGTTACTGCATTGTATACCTAAAATGTACCAATAACCTTAATGGAAAAAAATCTCGAAGTAAAATTCCTTTCTTCCTGTGAGCACTAGAAACTGTCTGCACAGAAATTGTATTCAGATCTGAAGCAGTTATCCAGAAGAATTAAGACACATATCTATTAATTTTTAGAGTCTTCTCAAAAAAAGAATCAAAGGATTTAAAAATGAAGAAAGATGGAGAACTTGTAGCTCTTGAGAGTAAATCCACAAAGACTCTATGAGCTTGAGAATTCCAGGATAAGAACAAATTGACCAGATCACTTAGAAGGTTCAGTGGAAATTTGGCCCTTTTAATCAAAATGAGTAGTTTTCAATCTCACTAATGCTACACAAGATCAATTACAAGGTTTATCCAAGTTAAAACAAGCCGTGGTTTGTGTTTTTCTTTTTCTTTTTTTTTTTTTGTACCAGGGATTGAACTCGGGTCCTTGTGCTTGCAAGGCAGGCAGCAGAACCACTGAGCTAAACCCCCAGACCAAACGAGCTGTGGTTTAATACTGACACTGTTATATTAATGACTGTAAGATTTAATTCTCAAACATTTTCTTGGTCACTGAGAAAAGGCAAAGTTGCAGAAAATAAGTTGGTAACCTAGGAACCTGCCAGGATTTTTTCCCACAAGGGTAGCTCTCTTGTAATATGTTGAGCAAAGCTTTAAGAGACACATGTAAGCCAGATTATCATTCCCTTGCTTAGTAGCTCCTTAAAATGTCCCCTGGGTATTTAATGAGTTTGAATTTCTGTAAGAAGACTGTAACATCCTCCAGGTCAAAGGGCTATGGTTTATAAATCCTGGTAACTTGCTGATACAGCATTACAGACACTGCTCTGCTCAACAGCCTCCAGTTGATAGATTTATCATTAGGATGAGTAAGACAAAGCAATGTTTGTATGCTGCCAAACCACAGTTGCAGAAAGCCCACAAATAACAATTAAACTCCCCACAATTCCCAGCCCATCTCATCTTCACTGGCACAATTCCCAACTAAGAACATGATTCTATCCCAGTTCCTCACATCCCATAATAAAGAGTAGTTAAAGCCATGATGTGAAGGGCCTGGATCTCTTAGAGTTTTACTGAATGTGACTCCTAGGAGAGTGCTGTTCCCTAAATCTTCCATTTGAAGGAGTTGAGTGACTTTCATGGCATTAGTCAACACCAGGGGGCAGGAGAGAAAGCAGAGTGAATGGAAACAAGTTTAAACTCAGAAGATGGTGTGAGAAAATGGTGTTTTCATTTTTTCCTTCGACTTTCTCTTTTTTTTTCTTGTCACTATGTATATCTAAGATGTACCAATAAATGTTTTGCTAAAAAAAAAGAAAATGACCTGAAAAATATTTGAAAAACTTGGATGTCTTTCATTTCAAATGTCACTAATTAGAAATTTGGTATTAAAAGTAAACTTTCAAATACAAAAAAACCAAACAGACCATGAGTGACAGTTCTTAGCATCAAACATGTACACTATATGTGTTAGTTGAAAGTTTTAAGACCCTTTAAAAATTATCTCTTAAAATTTGCTATGTTCCTTATAAAAAAATTTAAAGATAGAGAAACAAAGCAAAGCATTTTTATTACCCATAATTTCATCATCTTTAAAAAAATCACTTAACATTTTTGTTAAACAATTGACCATGTTCTATCTTCTATGCATGCACACCTCTCTAAACAGGATCACAACAAATTATTATTTTTGGTACTATTGTTGAGATCTCACTATGTTGCTCAGCCTATTGTCCAACTAGCTAGATCAAGTGATCCTCCCATCTTAGCCTCCTGAATAGCTGGGACTTCAGGCATGTACCACTATGCCCAGTCACAATACATTCTTATCATTTTATATGGCTCCATAACTTTTACTGGTAATGTTCACTTTTTAGCTCAAAATACAATTATGGGTAGAGGAAGAGATTCTACCCAGGTATCTAGCTGGCTCTGATTTAACCAGCCTCAACAGCTCAACTTCTTTAAGATTTAAATTCCTCAACTGTGAAGAATTTATCATTTGATATCAATGATATATAAGGCACCTTCCATGTCTATCATTCTAATAGTTGGTGGGTAATTGAAGGAAGACAGTATTGTGCAGTGGTCAGCTCTACTTATGAGGTGAGGTCCTAGACAGTTTCTTGACTGCTCAGTGGCTCAGTTTCCCTTTTTGTAAGATGGGATTAATGATAGAGGATGCCATCTGGGGTTATTGTGAGCATTAAAAAGATAACACACATGAAACACTTAGATCCGTGTTTGGCACATGGTAAAGACTCAACAGGCAACTGGTATCATCAATATTCTGCTCAGGCCCCAGGTTTCCTGAGGTGACAGAGTGAAAACAAATACTGAGGAACTGAGTGCTCACTTGAGAACACACATGCGTTGACCACATGAGATGGGCATTCTGCTCATCTGTACAATCTTTATTTCATTTTCTGAATAAATTTATTATTTTCACTTTACACATCAAGAAACTGAGGTGGAAACTTGCCTAGATTCAGGTAGCTAGTGTCAATCCCAAAGACTAGCTAGTTCTGGCTGAGCTGAAGGGCTATGATACCTGCCATTAGGTGAGTGTTTAATTTCAAAAATAAAATCCAACCATGAAATATCTTTCTCAGTGATATCCAGCATAAATTTCTTTTATATTTTGATAATCCATTTTAACAATTCCACTTTACACTTATTTAAAAGACCCACGGATTTTTGAACATTTTAATTCACTGCTAGATAACCACGTTAGAGCCAAACTAGGACATGGGTTTTATAAAAATAACATACTCGACTTAGAAATTTAATTTCATGGTTATAACTGATGGTCTAAAAGTTCCCCAAACTAAACAAAATAAGGACACCTTAGTGAAAGTAACTGGCTCATGAAATGGAATGTGATATTTTAACATTTTGATTTCTGTATCATTGCCAAAGGACGTCAGAATGAGGGATTTGGGTTGACAACTGGCTGACTGGCCCCGTGAGTAAAAATGGTCATTTAATTTCTGGTTATAGTTTTCTCTTCCAGGAGAAAACGGAAGAACAGACCAAAATGCAAAGTTCCTTTTAGTTAAACGCCATCTCATTGTTTTATGGGGCTCACATGCTTTCTTAACGTTTGTCAGTGAAGTCGGTAATTCCTGGTAGGCCTTCTATGGTATGGTGCATCTGTGGAGGCATTTTAACCAACAGTATCAACACTCCCAAACAAAACAAAGCCCCCAAAGAAACAACAAAAGTGAAGCCAGCTTCTGACTGCACAGGCCAGTGTGTGCGGACGCACAAATTCATGAACAAAATAAACATTTGGAGTAATATATACATTTGGATTGAGCCACAGCGTTCTGTGCTCAGACTCAGCTGTGTACAGACCCACATATTTCCAAATAACACACACCCCAACTCCAAAGGAGCTGGCGCCGGCCTGGGTGAAGCGTGTTGCGTTTTCTCCCGGGCTCGAGCATTACATGCCTGGTGCCCCTTGCCCAGGGTTCGCGTTACGCCTCTCAGTCCAGCAGGCCCGGGTGTCCTCAGCGACCCACTCCGGGGATCCAGCGTGCTTTCCGTACATCCAGCCGAGCGCAGATCACGTTCAGGGGATGTGGGCTCGCGCCGCAGTTGGGCGCTGATTGGTCGGGCCATCGGGCCCGCCGCCCGGGGATTGGTTCAAGGCCCCAGTTCACGTGCTTCGGTGCCGATAAACTGCCTTTCCGGCGCTAGACTCCCAGCCAGCCCGAGCGACCACTGAAAGGGTACAGCAGGGAGCTGAGGGCTGCGAGCTTGCGCAGGCAGCGGGGTGCCGGTTTTCACGGTCCGTCGCCTCCTCTGTGCCTAATGAGTTGCACCAGGTAAGTTCACTGCTATTCTGCGCCCCGGACAGATGGAAATGTGCAATTGTGGGGAAATTGAGGGCCGTGCTCCTGTCGTCTCTGCAAATGAGACCCCAGGGCAGGGCATTGGTTCAATCTGGCAGCCGGGAGGCCTTGGAGGTGTGGAATTTTTTACTGTATTTCTTAGGGAACGTCTGTTAGGATGCAATCAGCATCCTAAATCAGAAACATTAGTCAGCTGTAGTTCAGATTCCCTCATTGATGCGACTGTTATCTTTGGGTCCTGCACAAGTGTCCCAAGTACTCAGGCAGCTTAATTTGTGACAGCACTGTGATATTTTTGGGTAGGTAGTTTAGCATGGAGGCAAAAATGACAGGGCGATATTTGCATTCATTCTTTCTCCACTCTGCATTCATTTGTTCTCCTCTACTCTTCTTATCATGGTTTGTCATGGCAAACACAGTCTCAGAGTTTGAACACATATTATTTTTAACTCGTGGCCAGGCCTTAACATTCCAGGGAAATTGACCAGTGCTAAAACTGTCTTTCTATAATTGCAAAAAATAAAAACCTTCCGTAAACTGCTTTAAGTAGCTTCTCTAGACATAGCAGACTTCTCTAAAAATCCTGCCTGTTAACTATCATTAGATCCACAAATATAGCTTTAGCTTTCATTTGTTTGCTCCAAGTTTGTAGGTCTCCCAGAAAAGTCCTTGAACATTCTGTGAATGTCTATTATTATCCATCTTGTGAAAATGACCACTTGCCTCTATGCTTAGAATTTATGTGAGGAGTTAGTAAAGCCAAACTGAGAAATGTCATGTACAGTATTCACATTATCTCTTATCTGGAAGGCAAAGATTGGTGGGGGAAAAATCCCAATTCTATAAGCTTGGCAACATATAATGAGAGCCAAAGGCCAGAAAAAACCTTCTTGATGGATGTGTCTTGGTTTAATATTGCTGAACATAGTTGTATTTAAGTTTTAAATAGCTTTCTTGTCTTTCTATTTATAAATGACCATTGCCCAAACATTAGAAAATACCAAAAAAGTACAAAGACGACAATAGATCATTCATAATCCTATCACCCAGAGATAATTGTTAACTTTAGGTATATTTTCTATAAAGTTTTTCAATATTTATAGATTTATATACCTAATATATGTTTTGTAACAGTTCAGTTTTCAAGTAACCAGTGTTTTATTTTTAAAATAAATTCCATTGTGTTAATTTAAGGTGTACAACATAATGTTATATCTGTAGTAAAATGGTTATTGTGTAACAAATGAACACATCTGTCATCTCACATAGGCAACCAGTTTTTCCATTTGAATGTAGACTTGCCATGGACATCTTTCTATATGAAATATAGATTATGCAGACTTTTCTTTAAATGCATGAAGTGTTGGCTTGTATTTCAGTTGGTTATTTGTGGAAATGAGGACAAGCATGATAATCCATAGAATGATAATTCTGACTTAGACTTTTAGCTTTTCATTCTCATAATGTTGTATGAAAATTTTATTGCTATTTTTTTCAAGTGAATTACTCTTTCAGAGAAGTGTAATCAAGTTAATCACAAAATAAGCAATTACAGCCAGAGGGAAAAGAGGGTCTGGAACTATGGTTCCCAAAGAAACCATCTGGTCATTAGACTCTTTGGGGGAAGCTTTAAGAATATAGCTACCTGCTTGGCTCCACCCTCAGAGGTTTACTATAGTCTGTAAGTTACAGAACTCTGAAATTTTCTTTTCTATTTTTAAAGAAAGAAACTAACTCCCTAGGCCATGGTGATCAGAAAAATGTGAGAACCACTGGTCCAGAACAGAGCAAGTTAGACATCATCAAATCCAACCCTTTTATTTCTCAAATGGGGGAACTGAACCCTCCTCTAAATGTTGTAAACAGTTAACTTATGGCCCTATTGCCAGCCAAGGGGAGAGGTAGACAAAGAATGCAGATCTAGTCACCTGATACTGTTCTTTTTTACCCTACATGAAAGTACTTCCCAGATACTGCCCTGCCTTTAATTCCATCAGTACAAAAATAGTACACGTGTATTGAGGATCAGGCAGAGAACATTTCAGATAGAGGTGATAACCCCCTTTCCTTTTACATTCCAGAATGATCCAGGTTTTGGATCCACGTCCTTTGACAAGTTCAGTCATGCCAGTGGATGTGGCCATGAGGCTTTGCTTGGCTCATTCACCACCTCTGAAGAATTTCCTGGGTCCTTATAATGACTTTCAACGAAGAAATTTTGTGAATAAATTAAAACCTCTGAAACCGTGTCTTAACCGCAAACCAGAAGCCAAATCACAGAACGAATGGAAGCGCTCACACAACCAAGCTAAGAAGCGGGTTGTGTTTGCTGACTCTAAAGGCCTCTCTCTGACTGCTATCCGTGTCTTCTCTGACCTCCCAGAAGAACCTGCATGGGATCTCCAGTTTGATCTCTTGGATCTTAATGATATCTCCTCTGGCTTAAAACTCCATGAAGAGAAAAACTTGATTTTAGATTTTCCTCAGCCTTCAACTGATTACTTAAGTTTCCGGAATAATTTTCAAAAGAACTTTGTCTGCCTGGAGAACTGCTCTTTGCAAGAGCGGACAATGACTGGGACTGTCAAAGTGAAAAACATGAGCTTTGAGAAGAGGGTTCAGGTCCGTATCACTTTTGACAGTTGGAAAAGCTACAAGAATGTGGACTGTGTCTACATGAAGAATGTGTATGGCAGCTCAGATAGTGACACCTTTTCATTTACCATTGACTTACCCCTTGTCATTCCAACTGAGGAGAAAATTGAATTCTGTATTTCTTACAGTGCTAATGGGCAGGTCTTCTGGGACAATAATGAGGGTCAGAATTACAGAATAGTCCATGTACAGTGGAAGCCTGATGGGGTACAGGCACACACAGCACCCCAGGACTGTGCATTCCACCAGGTGTCCCCTAAGACAGAGTTAGAGTCAACAATCTTTGGCAGTCCAAGGCTGGCTAGTGGACTCTTTCCAGAATGGCAGAGTTGGGGGAGAATGGAGAACTTGGCCTCTTATCGATGAATTAAGCAACCTAGTGTCTAGGCTTGACCTGTCCTAGTCCCTGTGCAATTCTAGGTCTGTATTGCTCAATATTAGGACGTCTTTGCTACTTTCTTCCACCAGTAGGTTTAGGTTTGAGCTTTTGAGACCTGGCTACAGAAAATATAGCAACTTGGGAATTTAGCATTGGAGTCTGGTATGGACGATGCTACCCAATTTTGTTTTGGAGAATCAAGTAACCCTAGGAACTATTTTTAGAAAAGTAGTACTTTTTCAGTACCCTTCCTCCTTCCCTCTCAATTCACTAGCTTTCACATTGAGCAAGGAAAAGTTGAGGAAGGAGAATTGATGGTGATGGAAAGCTGTGCCAATGGTATGAGGAATGTGTGAAGTGTGTACTGTACTCGAAGGGCTCTGCAGCTCAAGTCAGAGTAGGAGAGGAAGATCTATACTTAATTGGTGGTGAGAACATGTAAGGATGTTTTGTGTATTAAAGTTGGTTTTATGGATCTCTCCTGGGAAAATAACTCACAGAGGGGAAAGAGATACATTCTATGTATTTCTGTGGAGAAGAGGCAAATAAAATTCCAGGGTTTTCGATGGTATTGGGGGAAGATGATCTATAATTCTGGAGAATTAAGATCTTAAGAGAAGCTTTTCTGTTTAAACATGGTCTATCAAAAAATCATGATTTGAGGAAAGTTTAAGCAAACCTGGCTTTGCAGTCATAATGTAATAAGTGACTTTGTGATCAAGGCATCATACTTGGGTTTTTGGAACAGAATGCTGACCAGTGAAAACTGTGCTATCAGCAATGGCTGACAAAATATAGGACCTCTAGGTCATGGCAGAAATGGCTCTTTGCAAGTGCCTTGATTAAACCAGAATGCTATAGTTGCTTAACCCAAACATCTGACTGGTCATATGATAACTCATGAGTGTTTGGCCTCATAAGGAGGTCTACTATGTACATTGGCATTCATCGTACAATACTGTTGTATCTTCAAGAGTGTTGTCAGTGTACACAGCCACATCCTTCATATTGAAGGTGACTCATTTTTCTGCAACACTTTTTCAATGTGATATTTGAAGTGAGGATTGACACTAGGGTTCTCAGTAGAAGAATCCAGTACCTTGCACATAGAAGTAGCAGTCTATCTCTTGCTTATTTTTGTCTTGCTGTTTTAATTTCCTTTGAAGTCAAAATGCTTTTTTTAGAAAATGGATATAAATTGTTTGGGATGTGAATTGTTTTTGTGTGTGAATATGTTCATTCTGTAAGATCTTAAGGGCAGGAGTCCCAAAATGCTGGGTAGTTGGCACACCCATTGAGAGGTGTTAAGAGAAAGCAGTTAATTTTAACATGTATGGTCTGCCATGCAGAGTATAGGAATAACTCTGCAATGACAGTATTTCAGGTTTGACTAGCATCCATACATTTTTCTACTGTAAGTATTTCACTCCCTTCTAGCTATCCTTTATAAGCTTCTCACTTTAAGAATAAATGTGTTTGATAAGATCTGAGAGTGTTTTCTTAAAGCCACAATTAGTTAATAAGAAACTCAGCTGACATTCTCCCGTTTTGTTTAGGACTAACCAAGCGGAGTTGTTTTGGATCCACCTGAGGGTATTCACATAGCTCCAGTCTCTTTAGTGAGCACATTCTTACCACCTGATCACTGGGGGTCCAGGGGTGGTGGCTTGAGTTACTGTGACTGTCCCCTTAACCCTACCTGTGATCACTACTTACCACACGTGTTCTTTGCTGGGTCAGAGTTATCTTGGAGAACCTGTTAGCTTTAAAATGGGAGAGGAGATGATGTGGAAAGGGCTGGAGAGGCTCCTACTTCTTGAGCTCCAGCACTTTGCTGAGGGGCAAAGCTTAGAGTTGCACATAGGGGCCTAAGGAGGCTCAGTGGGTGTCAGTCCTGGACTGAAGAGAGAAGCATGACTCTGAGGGTGAAAAGCAGCAGTTCAGTCATTTAAGGTGTTGCTCCTGTTCTGCCTAAAACTCCAGGTGGGGCTTCTGAAGAGTGTATTTTAACTGAAGAGGAAATCAATGACCAACCTGGAAAGGCCCATTTATGAAGAATAAACTTTTATCATATAACATCCTCTATGTCAAAAGTTGTAAACTACAAATCATGGGCTGTATATGAGCACAGAATTCATTGCCATGGTAGAATAATTAGGAGACTATATAAAAATGTGGATTTTATTTTTTCCTCTAAAAGTTGAAGGCAACAAATGTGTGGGGCTGAGTAGGCCCCATGTAGATAGTGCCGAAGTGTTGGCCAAAGTCCCCACCTTTGGCTGCTTTCTCCTACACTGTTGGCTGGCTTTGGTAAGCACTAAAGTTTATAACTTCTATTTTGTCTCTTTTGGGTCTCTAGTCAAGCTGATAGATGGATGAAGGATATCCTATTCCTAAGAGATGGAGCAAACTGAAATTTAGGTTTGACAGGGATACTGAAAATCATGGGACTCAAATGCCTAATGTTATGAAAGGAAAAATTAAGATACAGACAGGGAAAGTGACTAGTTCTAGGTCTTATGCTGGGTAGTTGGCTGATCAGTAGATTTTGGACTAGTGTTCCTTCCTGTGCTTCATACTTCCTCCTTGAAGTCATCCTTTGAGAGCTTCCTTCTGTAGTGAAAGGGGGAGCCATTTCCAGGTAGGTATGACTCTGGCTAGCTCTTACTGGCTGCCTGTGCTAGCCTGACCCAATACTGGCATGTCTGTGAGCTGCTCCTGAAGGAGGACTCAATCAAAGAGGAGGGTGTTCCTGGCCCTTTACAATAGAACAGTTAACTCACATTCCATATCTTGACATCTCACCTAATAGGAGAAGCAATTCTGCTTTTAAAATTAAAACATGACTTGAATTTTGGGTGCATGATATCTGCTGCACCTCCCACCCCCCTGCCAAAGCCAAACAAACCTGATTTAATTTACTTAAGGAAAGACTGCCTTTTATTTTTCTTATACATTTAGACTCTTCTGTTTATGTTCAAGCAAAAAGGCTGGGAATCCTTAGCATGTGAGAGAACTTCGCATCTTTCTCAATGGGACTCCCAAAGTTCTGTGCAACTTGGGGTTATCCTTCAGTCTGCAAAGGGAGAGTCTTCTTTAGTTTTTGTGTCTAGGTTCTTCATAGTTTTCTAGTGGCTACAGGGAGCTGTGGCCTGTACAAACCCTCTTAATAGTGGACAGGGATCCCAAACTCTGAGGTGTCCTCACATGCACTTTTTATGGCTCCTGGCCTACTGCCCAATCTCTCTTTCTGCCAATGGGTGGACACCTTCCATTGGGTTTAGAGGGTCCCTTTAGCTAGTCTTCAACCTTGGCTGCATAATGGAATCACCTTGTAAGCTTTAAAATACTGATGCCTCCCCTGCACCTCTTAAGATTGTGACTTAATTGCTTTGCATTGTAGCTCGGGTTGGTCAGTTTTATAAGCTTTCTAGTTTTTTTCCAATATGCATCAAAGTTGAGGACTTCTGATTTAAGCTGGCTGAATTGTTTTCAGCTGCATCCTTTTAAAGAAGTAAGTGGCTCAGATGATTTTTTTCACCACCTTTTAAAAAATTATAAATGATGAAAAAAAATTATAAATGATGAAATGAAGGCCCAAAGAGGTTAAAACTTACCTGAGTGCACAGAAATAGTAGAGGCTGATTTCCTGACCCCTTCTTCCAACATTCTCACCTCTGCCAATACCATCTCCTGCTGAACAGCCTGAACACAGACTTGGTTTTCCTAATCTTTTCTCTCTTTTTATCTTCTCTGATCATTTGTATATAGAGTTATGAGGAGGCCTTTGCATGCAAGTGACATGAACCTTGACTCAAGTACCACAAACAATAAAGAAAATCTATTATCTCACTATATAAACCCCAACGTAGCATGTTGTCAAAGTTAGCTGGTTTAGTGGCTTACATTCAGGTTATTTCTATTTTCATTCCACTATCCTCATTACTTTTGATTGTCCTTGTGCTAATTTATTTTCTGATTATGGAATGGCTGCCACAATTTCCAGGCATCATGCACAGAAACAATCCATCCACCAGAAGAAGGAGGCCATCTCTTCTTGTTACTTCTTTTTTGTATTGGGGATTGAACCCAGAGCTTTTCACTGAGTTATATCCTCAGCCCTTTTTAAATTTTTTATTTTGAGAAAGGATCTGGCTAAGTCACTAAGATATCCAGACTTGTGATCCTTTCTGCCTCAGCCTCCCAGATTGCTGGGATTATAGGCATGTGCCACCACATTCAGCTGTGTAACCTTTTAAATGGGTGAATAAACCTTTCCCAGAAGCTCTTTATACCCTCCACCAAAGATTTGTAGACTTCGACCAGAATTAGTCTCTATGCCTGTGGATGAATCATTCTCTGGTGGGGAAACAAGACTGTCACACTCCCAAGCAACCACCCAGGATTTAAAAGAGGTGTAGCCTGCTGAAATGCAAAGGTATATAGAGGAACCAGATTCTTTTTGTTTTTTCATTAAGTTTATTGGTACGTTTTAGGTATACAACAGTTACATTCATCATTGGGAACTTGTACCTTTACATGCCATATCTTGGTCCTTATTTTTTCCCCATTTCCCTGCCCTCCCTTCAACCTCTCCACACCTCCCTATTTACAAAGACTTTGTTTCCATTTTTTCCTTTTCTCATATTTTTCCTTTCCCTTCTTTCCTTTCCCCTACCCCTGGCACTTTCCCTACACCTCTAGACCTTTTCTTCCTATTTCACATCAATTGTACACTTTGATCCTTATTTACACTTTTAGTTTCTCACACCAGAGAAACTATTCAGTATTTACATGTGTGTCCTCTTTATTTCACTTAAGAGTATTGCCTCAATGTGCATCCACTTAGCTATAAATGTCTCTAGTTTCTCATTCTTTATGGCTGAGTAGTACTCCATTTTATAAA